CACCCTTCTCCCCGGAATTCGCCACATTCGTCTTCCACCTGCTCCAAAATCTAAAGGATTCATTATGTTGAAGATTTGCAAATGATCAGGAGCTTATGGAAGTTGTCACCCAGCCATCGGAGGACTAAGAGCGAGAATATTTCCAAAGAGGAAACAAACCCATTTGAACATTCCTGGACCAAGTGCATTTCACTCAGAAGATACTATTTTGGGAAACAGTGAAGGGATATTGAGGTTAGAGCTTTTTTATATATGTCAGGTTTAAAACTTTTTGATTACCCCTCGTATTAGTAAAACCATTTTGTGAGTAGTCACATCCCATCCACAGTCATGTGTGAGTGACGCTTGAGCGCCACTAGCATAATTGGGATGGATTTGTTCTATTGCATGCAAGCATCTAATACACTACTTTAAAAAATTAAAGAATCACTTCTTAAACATTACTTGGCGTCAACAATGTTACACAGACCTCTATGAAACTTGTAATGAAGAGAGTCAACATTTAATGAGTCATTACAACGGTCTGGCGCTGGACGGAACCTGCAGGACGCGCGCAGTTTTCATTCAGGTCCAAATGGAGTGAAAAAAAAACGATCGGAATCAGATGAAAGTTTTATTCAGTAGTGGCAACGGATTCCATAATAGAAAGTACGACATCTAATGCGTATTCGTCGACGCCGCTGTGAGGCTTGTATGAGGCTAGAGGAGGCCAAATTCTATTTTGAAAATACACGCTTTTGAGCAAATGTTTGAATATCTGTTTCAGCTATTTATCATACTTAAGTGATAATTTTCCCCCAGAGAAATTGATTTTTTTGTGGGCTGCAAAGTTGTTGATATTTGTTATTTTAGTAATGCTTAAATGGAGCAGCTTGGCATACTGAGTGTTATTTGAATTTCCCCATTATTAAAAGCCACTATAATTTTAAAAGTAATTGAATTAATTTATTTAGTACTGCATATTAGGGTCTGAAGGAAAAAGAGCACATTGTTTAAATCTTCATATCATGAAATCGGTCAATGCTACAGTAGAGAAGGTTCAATGATATATGCATCTGCGTCTGATGTTCATTTGAACAATTGCATCAATTATTCCCGCCATGGTTTAGCCACAAATGCATTTTGAAGTTTGCGCGCCACTTTTTAAAAATCATTAAATCCCACTTTTACCTTTTCGCAGAGAAAAGGAAGATAGCATGTTTGAGTTTCAGTTCCCTGCAACTTGCTTATCGAGTCAGTTGTGATCATGCTGTTGTCTAAGGCAGACAAAAACTGGATTTACTTGTGTTTTCTAGACGAAATAGCGAATTGACTTCATTAAAAATACAAATTTTAAACATAAACTTCAGCTGAATGCTGCCGTTCGGACGCAAAATGCATCGTGCATTACTTTCAGTAACTGTTTTTGGGCTTCCAACAATTTTGCTCACGAACTTTTAAGCGCTTCTTTTTTTGCTAAACCAAAGGAAAGTTCTGAAAAAGAAAAGCATAATTGACAAAATGTTGGTGCATACCTGTTGAGTAATACACTGCAATAGTTTTGACCGCCTTTCACATATAAACATTTCAGTAACGACGCGTTTTCTTTTTCGCACCCGGTATAGACGATAGTGACTGAGGGCCTGACACGAATTTCAATCATGTTTTGATATTAAATAAGGCTGAAAATTGGTACTGAAATAACTGTTGGGGATGCTCAGGTCAGTAAACCTCTTTTTTGTGATAAAATTCCTGGAACCACTTTCCACACCCTTTGGTAGAGGTGACGTTTTCAAAAGTCACACATTTGCTCCAGAGGAGGAACCACGAATCTATATAATAAAATTACCGTTGTCCGTGGTGATGGTCGTGGTCCGTGGTTCGTGGAATGCGCGCGCATACATGACAGACGCGTGCGCTCAGGGCGATCGCGCGTGCTCTCACCATAGAGTGCTCTGCCTGCCTCTGGGCATAGAGTGGAGAGTATAACTACAGTATAGGCGACACTCCGAGGGGTAGAGGGTGGGGTCTAAATATTACAGAGGCATCTGGTGGCTTGTTATCAAGAACACTTTCATGAGGCGTGCTTCTTGGCAGCAGAATCGGGAATGGACTCGTTCAGGGTTTTGACCCAAAGGGATCCCTCAACGTAACACGCGTGTCTCGTTGAGTCTGCTGCTCGGCCATGGAAGACTTGATGTGTTCCCGATGGGTGGAGGATCGAAAGTGACATCTATATTGCGACCCTGTCAATGAATGAGATTCGAGCAAGTGTCGCCTCCAGTTATACTGGCGATGGTCTATTATTATGCTCAATTATTTTATGTTCAGGGTGAACGTCTCCCTCTCTTGGGCTCACAGCTTTTCCGGCCGTTGCGACTGTTGGACCTATTCCCGAGAGCGTAATAGCCTGGGGGATGGAGGGTTCGAATGACGACGAAAATAATATAATGGCGGGCGAGAATCGAACCCAGGATCTCGAGGTTGCCGGTCCATTGCGCTACCACTACACCACCGAACCCAAGACGTTCAATAAAACTTCTCCACGCCATCCTTAATATAAGAACTGGAGATGCATTCTACGCTAACCTCCCGCTCTCTACTTCGAGGAGTTCGATACGGACTTTTCCGCAGGGACGTGTAAAACGTCCCTGCGTATTACACTTTGAGTCTCCTTTTATCTCTGGAGGAGGGACACCAAGCAGCATGTTTACGTAAACAATATATCAATTTTTTGCAAACAATGCAAATTTCTTGCGATTGCCATGAAAATGACATAACGTTTACGTCAAATTTACGTTCCTATATTTACGTTACCAAAGTGTACGTGTATTTTACATCAACTACATGTCACTGCATCTGACGTGAAGTACATGATATCAAATGTATGCTAACTTAACATCACACTTTCCATATGAAACTTTAGTTGAACATCCCGCAGTTGCAATACCAAGATTCCTTAGTAGATGGAACCCTTGTTCCCTGCACCCTACAAATGCTATTTAGTACTGGCTTTCCCAATATGATATCAAATTTTATTACCATCATTCCACTTTATATTATGCAATTTAAGAATATATATATATGAAAATCGTGAAACTATAATATATTTAAAACATTAATATAGGACTCAGGTAATCATTAAATGCCGAAGTTAAGCTTGTTACTACAAAAGTGCACGGGAATAGGGAAGAGTAGAATCCCAGCTCCACAAGTACTATACCTCTTCTATCGTTAATGGGAGAAAAACAACTAAACATCTAAACTAAACGCCTCTAAACATCTACTTCTCCTCCTGAGGCTCTGGTACGAGAGGAGGAAGTAGTAGGTCATATTGGTACTTTTCAGTGCTGTTGAGGATGAGTACTTATGTACTCGTGTAATCGTCCAAGCACCCTTAGAGTTCCAAAGTATGGAAAGGAATGGGAGAAATGCAGTGTATCGATTCCCTTCAAAAGTACTAATTGGCTCGTTAAATACGATTCATATTAGGGGAAAATTAACATCAATTTTGAGTAAAATGAACGTAAATATGCTGTTAGGAATGTAAACGGGAATGTCAATCTTACGTAAACAACGCTAGTTTGAGATACCTGGAACAAACTTAGGCAGTCGCCATTGCATGTATATGCCTATACATTGCATGAAGTTTTCTAAGGGGGCCGATTCGTACTTCAAAACAGATTGAAGAGTAAACAGCTTAGGTTAGGCCTTGAAATAGCAGAGCACTGAGATTACTTCCACCATATCCTAAATACTATAAAACATGCCTTTGGCATAGGCACAACATTAATCGTCAATGACTTTCCAAAATTGGCACGCTGTAGCGCTGCATGGCTCCTAGGCCCAGAAGATGGGCTAAGGAAAAATGTACCGTAATAGGGGTTCGGTAACTACAAAGGAAGCATTCTAGTTTTAGAAAATTACGAAAATATGAACATTTAGAATTACCGATTAGAGCTATGGGAGGTTCTTGCTCTCAGACATCGAAAATGTAAATTATGTTTTTGAGGGCTTCTCGAGGCCTAACATACTCATACGTTGTGTACTTAAAAGTCATGTCAAATGTATGTCGTTTATATGCTTTCTAGTATTCTGATTATGCAACCAGTGGAAGAGGCATTAATCTTACCTAGTTCGCGTTGTGGGAGTAATCATTAGGCGCGGTAGCGAATCTTACCTTTCTTCAATCCCTTCCCGCCACAAAATTCAGCCTCATCGTATTCCTCTCTTAAAGCATCAAGAACGACATTTGGCATACTTCTTCCCCTCTCACCACAGAACCGCTACAGCAAAATTTCAAGTTCCATCTCCCCGGGGTTGTGGAGAGCGCTGAATATCGTTTTTGGAATATGTGAATTTCGTTCCGTTTTTTTTTTCTCCCCCCTGGGTAGCCACTCCTGGGGGGGGGGGGGTTTCGGAGGAAAGAGACCAACCATAAAAAAATGGACTCGTAGATGATGAAAAGTGGCTTTTTTTGCTGTTTTCGATGCTCCATTTCGCCATAAAAAATGAAATTAGCTGTCGCTCTAAGCCTAATTAGGCTTAGAGTGCTTCCTCCGGTACCGTCCCTCAGTATTGCCCGATACCGTGCCGAAATTATGCCAGATTCAAGACTGCTTCATCCTTCATATTGGTGTCTGGATCTTCCGTTTTTTAATGTATGATATATTTTTCTGCTGAGTTCATGAGTTGAGCTGAGAATGAAGCGGTGGTTATTAATTATTGATCGATGTGGTGAGATATGCAGATATCTTATTCGGACACCCCTGAATTAACCGGATGGCGCGTACCATGGATTGCATGCTTCTTGAAGGCATTCTCTCCTCATGCCTATTCGACATGGTTTGAGGAACTCCAGATAACTAACGTTCCACGTCCCACTGAAATGGTTCATGAACGTATAAATAGGCATGCGATTGGCTTAACGTTACACGTCCTCAAGCAGATGTCTGAAAGACCACGATTCACCCTGATAGATCTAATTGGCGTCGTAAGTCGAAACGTAAGCTACTTTTGAAATGAAAAAGGTAGGCCTTGGCGTGACCTGAAGGCAGTCTGTTGGTTAGGCCTAGGCCAAACGTTAGTGAGTCCCGTAGAGAGGTGGTGGGGGTGTGAGGTTAAAGAAAGGGAAAGCGATTGAAAATTGGTTTTCATATTAATTCATGACTCCAGACTGGAAGGTTTTAGGCAGACTGGAAAGAAAATCCCATTTAGTATTTTTTTAATCTCTGAATTTATTGAGCTTTGCTTAAATATTTTGCCAGAATTTTATTCATACCTTATCCGTGTCGGAGCATTCGTGTCGACGTGATAATTATTTTATTTGGTCGGATTATAGAAAGTCCACAACAGAAGCATTAAGATCCATCACAAGAGCATGGATGATTACGTCTTGACTGGCCTTTACCCAAACGAAGAATACTACATATGGGTTTCAGCAAAAAGCAGGAGGGGTGAAGGTGCGCCGACTTTTCCCCTGCTCGTCTCAACACAAAAGTATGGTAAGTAGAGCAACTGCAATGAGAAGACAGGTTCGCAGTGAGATGAAACCAGGAAGGAGCATAGAATAGTCCGTGCCGAATAATCACATGATTTGAGTTCGTATTCTTATATACCTTTGTCTGGCACCTTCTGAATCGGCGGTACAATTGTAAGTGATTGTCTTACATGCTTCTAGGTTCTTCTTCATGGAAGATTTCAGTCTGATTTCGGTGTCATATCGGTGTCCCTTTAGTTTGCTATTCTTTTCCGAAGTAATCTAGTATTCATAATTCCGGAGATGCACCAATTTTGAAGCATATTGTTCTACAATATTTTAAGGACTACATGAAGTTGCCAAGCTCTGGTTTTTTTTACTGTATGTAAGAACTGGACCAATGTGACTTGGCCTTTTTGCAGTCACCCGCCGACCAGGCTGTTGATCGTCTGCTATCAGTTCATAATCATCACATACGTTCTCTTGTAAGCAAAACACGATAATTGATGATATGCAAACACTTGTATATTGGAATTCCATTTCAGCAAGTGTGTCTGCAGCGAACATCCCATGCATCACGGAGGAACAACCTCGTAACGTTACTCTATGAAGTCGATGTCATAACTGGCAAGGAAACTACTTCCTCACTCACCAAAGTACTGGTGCATCCATACATGCATACATACATGTTCAATACCGATTATCCCAACATAATGGGGTCTCGGTTCAATCATGCCCAGGAGGGACTTCCAATTACCTCGATCCTGGGCAACGGACCCAAACTCAGCTGGTGGGATACCGAGCCTCTCGTGACAAAGCTGAGCAACGTAATCATTCCACCTTGTACGAGGTATACCGACAGGTCTTTTGCCGGTCACCTTGGCCTAGAAGACTCCTCTTGGGAGCTTCTCAGGGGGCATGCGGCAGACGTGTCCAAACCACCTGGCCTGAGACCTTTCGATCCGGAGAAGCAGCTGCTCGACTCTCGCGGATGGCAGAGTTCCGCATCCGATCACTGCGCGTCATGCAAGCCACCCGATGCAAGAATCTTTCTTTTCGGCAGCTTGTATCCGCGATCTGGTTCTTTCAGTTATTACCTAAAGTCCATGACCATGGGTGAGTTTGGGGAGAAAAACACTCTTTAAAACCGAAAGTTTCCCTTCCCTGGAAACTTTCGATGTGGCAACCCCGGTTTTCCAAAGTTCCCGCAGAACTGCAGAAGCCTTGGAGAGGCGGCTATCGATCTCGTTTCTTTGTCGCCCGTCACTCGAGAACCAGACCCCGAGGAACTTAAACGTCTCCACCTGTTCCAGTGGGACCGCCACCGACATGCAGAGGATTTCTACGTTTCGACTAAGTTTTGACAGAGGGCAATTGTGTCTTGGTTCACCGCAGTTGGTGGGCGCCCTCATTTTTAAAGGAGCGATACCCCATAGCGAAACGTCGCATCCACCTCCGAATAGACTCAATCTAAGGGGAACAGTCCCCATGAAAACATTCATATCCGATTTGATTAGAGTTGCAGACTGTCCCAGCCGCTGCCGCGTAAATATATATGAGCGAAGGTAATGTTTTGGGGAGTCGGCAATTTCTGATCACATTGAAAAACCAATCACTTTTCTGGAAGTTTCTGAGACGCACGGAACGGGTCTAGAACCTTACAAAATGTCTAGGAAGACTGAGCTCTCATGAACATCGAGGGTGTTTAAATAAGAAACTTCTGTGAGGAAAAGAAGCCGTGTTTTTAAGGGACGGTCAATACTTATTGAACAGCTCTCATATCTTAAATAGAATAGAAGTAATTGCAAAAATAGGTTCATAATTCCAGTCCATATAGGCGCCAGGAGCCAAAAATAGGTGACACACAAACGCATATATCCCGAGATTGGTGCGAGATGAAAAAAAATCGTGGAATTCCTTTTCTAGCAATCGATTCCTCTACATACACACCGATTTTTGTCAAAATTGCAAATGTTTCAGCTCACGCTCTTGCCAATTTGGCGTGGAGTAACCCAAGAGTCAAGAAACGTTAAGCGAATTTAAACTCCTTTCTTGCCGTTTCTTCCAAAGTATTTTTTGCCCCGCACTAATTTAATACCAAACTGCTCAGAAGAAACTGAAAAATTCATTGATACCATATACGGCACAAAAAATTCTAGTATCTTTTGAATCACCCTGTATATTTGGTTTTAAATGTGCGTATTCCTTTACCAAATTCAGTGCCGAGTGAGCCACGTGACATGAACGTTTTGGCGATGAACTCCACAACGTTATTCGTTGAGTGGAAGCCTCCCATTGAAGTCCAGCATCACAGGTTCATTGATGGTTATCAGATATATGTTCACGGGGAAGATATGGGCGAGAATCTTCTCATGGAGCAACACTCCAATAGCGCTTCAAACGGATCTTCACTGACTTACTTTGTCACAAATCTCCAGCCGAATTCGACATACCGGGTTCAGGTGGCCGCCAAAACACGAAAGGGTCCAGGAACACGTTGCAATCCAAAAGCCGTTAAGACACTCGGGGGAGTTCCTTCAAGACCCGCTCTCCAGATAAGGTAGTCGTCCGGCTTTGATTCCATCCCTTTTGTTTGTTCTATACAATCAAAAGTCAAAATTATGAGGGTACCCCAACAATAATGCCTCCGATTTTGTCTACCGAAAACCGTTGGTGGAGGACGGAAGGACATTTGAAAGTACATGATTCATTTAAAGTTGGACAAATGAAACGTCCTTTAGTCTAAAACTATGCAACGGAAGCTTGCTGAAATCGATAGAGATGCTAATGGGGACGGTACAATGCTATGAAGAAATAGCGACGATAGCGCAGGCGATTCCAGTGGGAAAAAAAGGCTGTGATGCCTAATTTGCATAAGGGTGCAACTCCAAACTTGCTAGGGTACTACAAATGTTAGATATGACCACCATCCATGTCCATGATAGCTTTGAACCGATCCTACATATAATTAAATTTTCTCATGAGCTTTTATGAACTTCATTGTTGCATGGTCCTGTTCGTTCTCTGGAGCATAGAACGAACTGGACTAGCTTATGCTAGTAAGACCTTAATGTTTCGCCAGTGTTGTTACCATTCCTGCAGTAATATTTGATGAGAGCAATCCTTGCGTTCAGAGATAACCTGTTACTAGCCATTTCTGAAGGAAGAGTGAATGCTGGCAGGTTTTTTTGATGGGGAATGTACTGTAGTACTGGCCAAACACAAGGAACACAGGAAAAGTTAATTACTTGCCATGCTTGAAATGATGAAAAAGTTAAATTAAACAATTTCGATTTAGCCATTTCTCCCCCAATTTGATGGTTTATATTTCCCCTTTCAAGCAAGATAGAAACTTGAAATGCGTGCAAAATAAAAAAAACTCCCTCCACGTTATTTTCGTTGTTGAATCACTAATGCCAATATCGTAAGACTTATACCAAGATCGCAAGGAAGTCTTTATGAAGGCTCCTCTGTGCTTATGACAACGCGCTCTCCCCAATGGCTTTGCTTGTGCTGCTCTAAGTTTGAGTGCTGACAAATTCTAGCAATCGAAAGCATTGGAAATCAGTAGGTTTCTTCTTTCTTGAATATCTCATCAAAAAAATGTTAGAACTGATTTTACGATAAAAAAATATTATATTATAAACTCCACAAGGATTTGGACGCCTTTCACTATATGCTATCGTGTATCCGGTTGTCAAAATTCAGATGTATTTTGCCAAGATACGCATTGAACATTCAAGGGAAATGGTCTAAAGCCAGCAAAAATCGTCTATAAGAATCGTCTATAATTCATGACATGTATAAAAAAGGTATATGATATGATTCACAATGCGCGAGGAGAGTTCATTAAACAAATGTAATTTCATGTTCTTGGTCATTTCCAAAAATAGAAATGAAAATTTCACTATCCACCTAGGCTATCAACAGGGGAATCGTCTACGGTCGCCATGAATGCAACGTGGACCGATCCCTCTCATACATATGGAAAAATTCTAGGGTGGCGCCTGCGTTATTGGAAAGGATCAAACTCCTGTATGAATTTATCACAGTTTGACGTAGACAAACTTGATATGAAAGAGATCATCCTAGATGGATTTGAGAAGAATGAATACACCATACAAGACCTTGGTGAGATGAGGCCATCCATACCCACATGATTGAATGTCAAATATGCCTTATATGACATCAGGTGGAAATTCACAGAGAAAGGATTCAAGTACGAGTTTCGATTGGCTGCCCGCAATGACGGTGGCTATGGTCAGGAGGGGTTCATTGATATCAGAACACCTGAAGGACCTCCTACTGGCCCCCCCACAAACATTTCCTTCCATTTCATCACTTCAGACACCGTCGTGCTCACCTGGGATGTCCCAGAGGTCTTCCATTGCAATGGCCGCATCCTTGGCTACAATCTCCGTCTCTACACAAAGTTAGGCGACCACCTAATCTCGGAAATTAATAATCTCGAAACGCCGAAGGTAGACTTTCCCATAATGAAAGTAATCCCTATGTCACACCAGAAATGATGTGATGGTTATTTCTAATCTCTCCTTAGTTCGTTATGAAGGAGTTGGCTGAGGACACTTCGTACTATTTCCGGATCAGTTCCTACACCACAGCAGGTTCTGGACCCTTCTCAGAAAGGATGTACTGGAAGACTATTCCTGCAATTATTTCTGCTCCTAGTAATGTTCGAGCAGCGACAACTTTAGAGGATTCCTTGGAAGTCTGGTGGGATGAAGTTCGGCTACGCGATATCATCGGATATAGGGTAAATGAGCATCTAAGGATAGTGACTTTCACGCTAAAGAATTTTGTTTAGATGTTGCCCTCCGTTTCTTTTTAGATCTACTATACAATGAATGAAACTATTGACATGGACATGTGGATGCACAAAGACACCCGGAGCACGTATTCAGCTGAGCTGCAAAACCTTAAAATATATCAAAGATACTACATCAGAGTGGCTGCCCGTGGCAAAGAAGTGGGGATGCTTTTCTCCTCGCTGAAGAGTTATGCAGAATATAATGTATTATGATATTCCGTGTATGGTTTCTACTTAGGGATACTTGGGGAAGCAATCAAAGATGATCGTGGTGAAGGTAAATCAAGAAGATGTCCCTACAAATGTTTACATTCGGAAGAAATATGAAGAGTACAGTACTACAGCCATTATGTGGGAATATCCCATTGCTTTCCAGCCCATCGAGTACAAGGTCTGAACTCAGTATCTGTTTTAGGATTTTGATTCTTAACCCCTTCCTTCTTACGAAGTAGCGATACCTCATGAAATATTTCTGCCTAAAACTGAAGTTTCTCTTCGCTTCATGGCTTGTCTTCCAACAGGCGCTCATGAGAAGCTAAAAAAGTACCATTACTTCAACTGGTTGTTCAGTGCATCAAATTACTGGGTAATTTTTCTATTGCGTTTGAAAAAAAATGGAGAGTCACTGTTCTGTACCTCTCTCTTCACAAACAGCGAGTCGAAGGGGCAGTCGAGGGGCCCGAAGGTTTTCTTAATGTAAGTATCCTCTTCTGCTTGTTGGGGACCGCTGCCACACAATACGAGGGTTCCAAAAGTTTTGCAATTGGTACATTGATAATTTTTCTATGACTGTGTTTTTAATCCTGTAATTTCTCTTAAGTTTCTGAAGGTTGCAAACCAAATATGAAAAGTATTCCCATATGGAAAATTGGAGAGGAATTCCATTAAAATGTTTTACTGCCCGCTGGAAAAATGATAGCTTCAGCAAAGGGCTTCTGGGGAGAGATCTCAGGTCATAATCTTCTACAACTTCCCACAAGGTTTATATGTCAAGGACAACCATGATGAGATGGAAGCGGTGCTAGGAGACTGTGTTCATGCTCATAGCATAGTCTATTCGTGCTGCTATATTTTTCGGTTGGGGAGGGTGGGTTTGAAAGACAATCATACATCACGCCACATAGTGGTAGGATCTTAGGAGGAGAAAGTTGAAGCACTGACGTTACAAATGAGAGGTGACCATCATATCACATGTCAGCAGATGGTCCAAGAAGTGGGAATTGCATCAGCAGCACTAATGCAAATTCGAAGAAATTCGAAGAAAAGTCGAAGAAATCACTTGGAAATCATGACTTACAAGTAAAGGTAATCGCTGATCAGATTTGAGAAGCAGATATGTTATTCGTATGAGCGCACAGGTGATCGAGTGGAATACGAGGAATATTATGAAGAGAATACGAGTAGCTACGAGATCAATGAGCGGAAAATAGTCGGCGAAACGTTAGGTAAAGGAATATACCCCACTGCTGCCACTTGTCACGCAGTGAAGGGAAGATGGAACGGAGGTGTCCAGTCGAGTGGCAGCGAGGTCCCCCAACGTCACCCCATTGGATTTCTTCCTTTGAGGACATTTGAAGTATGTAGTTTATATTACAAGACCACGAACAATTGAATAATTAAATCGATGTATCTCTGAGGAATGTCATAAAATATCTCCGAACATTTTCAGGAGAGTCACATCTTGCATATCAGTAGGTCAGCAGTTTGAACACTTGTGCCATTTAGCGCCAAGTGTGGTTTATCTCCGAGATTCGCGTGTTACAAGCTTCGGCTTAGTGCATCAGCCCACGCATGCTTTTCCGCTTTTTCTGCGGCAACCCGTAACCTACAAATGTGGAGACATTTCTAGTCACAATACTAGCACTGCTGGTACTGCCATAACCCCCTGCGCAAGCAAGAGTCATATCGGGAATATGAGCTTGTTTATGGCATGGGCTCCATGAATCTGTCTCGAATAAGGGGATAAAAAATAAAGACATATCCGCTTTTATTGATTCTTGTAATGAGACAATGCGAGTTATACAGTATTATGAGGTACTACGCATTCCTGCGAGGGACGATTCCAGGGAATGTGGGAAAGATACTTTTGCGTACTTTGCGAAAAGCGAGACCCACACCTCCATCTAGTGGCATGAAGGAGAACTTCAACATTTCCTAATGCAATTAGTATTGTGCGTTTCAGAGGTAGGTCAGCTCCTTCACTCCTCCTGCCTATCCATGGGTCAGACTCATGCTTCCGCAGGTGGTTATGCCAGTGTCAGCAGTGCTAGTACTGTCAATAAAAATGTCTTCACCATTGTAGGTTACGGGTCACCACAGAAAAAGCGGACATTTGTGGAGTGGCGCACACATACGCCACGTTGGTGCCATGCTTCCACGTACAGACAGACCAGCAAGGTTATTTTTGTCAATAATGTGTCCCACGCATAAGCCACACTTGACCCACCAATGAGGGTGCCACAGATAATGCGGATATTTCCGCTACGGCCCGTGCACATGCCACCTATGGCCCATGGATGTACGAGGGGCGCTCAAAAAGTTTTCTACCTGAGGCACTCTAAGTTGTAATACACCATTCATATTTTTTTCATAGGAAGACAGATGTCTTTGATGATGAATGGAAAATTTTCAACTTATTTGTCTGTGATGGAAAGCTTCTCTGAATTTTTTCAGTGCGCTTCCGAGGAGTCTGCTGAAGGGGTATTAAAATTGAAAAGAATGCTGTGATGAATTTTCTAACCTTGAAGGAATTATTTTCCTGATGGATATTGCAACGTGGAGTCAGTAATACAGTATCCTCTCAGCCGCCAAAAGATCTGCTGAGAAACAGACTCCTTGTCCTTGAGAAACGACCGACTGGGAATTGTCATTATTGAGTTGGGCATCCCTGACGATCTAATCATTAGGGCCTTATGCTACCGTATTCATCAAGGCATTGACAAATGTCTCCTTTTGCCTTCGGTCGTATATCTTTGCGTGAAACATCCATGTCTGCCAAGTGTGGGCCAAAGCTGCAACATTTTACTGTGTCACACATGGTCTAACGACCGAAACGTCACAGAAGCGCCGCAGCTGCCGCACATACGCCTACCTATGGCCACACATGCACTGCTGATTGGGATATTATTATTTCGGATTTATGGTCCATTCGGTACAGGACGAGCGTGACTCGACCGAAGATGTGCTAACCGAATATCATTTGGCAAAGATGGGCTAACCTCCCCAATTATGGGCCGACGATAGACCAACGAATATTGTTTCCCCGGCCTAGGAAAAAAAAATCGCCGTGATTCCTGAGCCCCACTTGAGGGAGAGCTATGCATGGATCTCCTTCTATTATCGAATTCATTCCCCAGCAGTAGAGGTAAGGGGAATGAGATAGGGCCGTAGGGCATGTGAGGAAACTTGTGAGGAAGTCAACTCAGCTACGTCCCAGACGTGTTCCCACAGATATAGTGCCATATATGGACGACTATTGCTGTTTTGTTATACAAAGGCCTACAAGGATGACAGATATGTCTTTTCCCCATCTTTTTCGCCAACTTTCCCCTTTTTTTTCGCCAACGTCTTAGGCCTCCTAATGAGCATCTTTGAATTGTTTAAAATCGATTCAATAAAATTCCATTCATTCTAAACAGCAGTTCACTCAAAACTTTATATTTCCTAAACCTATCCAAAACAGATTAGAATCTAATTGAGAAAACCCGTTCCAGACCCAACCAACAATTATTTAAATTAAATTCACCTCTGCTATGAACGCAAAAATGAAATTTTGAAGTCTACAACTGAATTTGTTTCAGACTAGGTAGACTAGAACTTGAAGCCGTCCAGTGTAAGAAGCACCATGAACACACCACATAATGCACTGTAGTAATTGTGACCGTCGTTTGCGAGTTACGTGGAAGGTACATTATCATCTTTAAAATGATCGACAGGCACGATTCGAAAAAAATTATGTGCAGGCAGGTCCCTGCCTGGCATGCATATCCTGAGAGGAATTACAATCGACCTTCCGGTCACCAGTAACATTTCCGTCACTAATGAGGCGCAGTTCCACATGCCCCGAAAAAACATGAAAGACCGGGAAAAATACGATACGGAATACGGAAATAAAATTATGTCAAGCACTGACTCACGGGTGGCTGCGTACAACATGCGAAGCTGCCGGGAAAGAGGAGCTTATCAGAGACGAGCAAGCCAACCAAAATAGGCCTATCTCGTGAAAGTGCAGTACTAGTCGGAACAGGCGCAACTCTCATTATCTTCTAAAATTTTTAAATTAAATATTTACTTTCTACAAGGTTGGATCGAAAAGTTATGAGAATTTTCCCCCCAAGTGTTCTATCCGCGACAAAATGATTTGTGGTGTAGGCGAGAAGAGAGGGGACAGTATTGAAAAATAATTGTTTTTGATACCGCATGAAAACAGGTGGCAATGAAACAAATCATCGGTCGTTACTTATTAACCCACGCTCATAGTTACATTCGTCCTAGACCGTGTGTGAATTCAAAAACTAATTCAGTGACACTGGTAAATATCGTACCTTTCCTACCTTCGTTGTCATAGCGGCCAAAATATTGTGGATTTGAACAGAATAAACACAACGGGTATTAGCCTTGGGTTAGAAAATCTATGTACAGCTCATTTCTCAGTATAGCTTAAAGACATGCAAAAATGCTGTTGAGGCCAATACTTTTCTGATTAAATCATCGTCATTCACTCTGACCTAGTTATCAATCTTTCAAGTTAAACATGAATAAATCAAGTTAGTATGCATTTTTCTTGCGATAAAAACTGATGAAAAGCATAAAAAGTTGATACACCGGTAATTTACCGGCAATATTACCGGCAAGCAACACTGGGGCAATTACTAGTAATGCGGTTATGTTACGATGATGTTAGTACCACTTGTAACTCTAGTCTTTGTTACTCAGCAATCCCCCGCTTAATCGACCAGTGAGTGAGTTCGACCATATCGGATTCTGAGGGAAATCGACATCCACGTAGAGAAATGGATTGAAAGAAAACCACTTTAAACCAATTTATTATCTCTCCCATACATCTCCAGATATATGCATGCTAATGTGACCTATTTTTCCCTTCCAGTTTCGCTCCTAGCGCCCATACGGACTGAAATTGTGAATCCGTTCCTGCAAAAACTTCCCCTCTAATGTATAAGCTTCATTCTGGTGTTATTTATATTGTGAGATTGCCGTTTTCAATTTGATTTCAGGCACTTTTCTCCTAAGCTGAAACAAGAGGCTCCACTTGATCAAGTTCAGTGGCAAATATCGACACTTGCCACCTCGGGAATACTTTGTTCCAATAGTTCATGAAAAATTGCATGGTATGCCATTTCTGATGACGCAATATTCGAGATTCGTGAAAAAAGCTGGCAACATCAGTCACTAAAAAGTATTGCTGAAACTGTATTTACTAAAACACTGTGGATGTGGTAGGTCACGCTTAATTCGAACTGAAAATATCAAGGCTTTGGAAGAATCGGTTCTCAAAAAGAGTACCTGTACCTTAGGTTCGTGCTGAAGGTGAGCATTTTGAGTACAAGCTTTACGATTTTAAGGTTGGCTGGCATATATTTCAGAGAAGCGTTCATTTCTCATTTGATTTATCTAATGCGAAAGAGCATAAGGTTTGTAAGATATTGGAAATATATATATACGACTGGTGATTGGAAAAAAAAACCTTTACAACCAACTTCCACAGAATTTCTATTTACTGCAACCAAACGATACAGGTGATGCATAGATTGCTCTCGGAGGAATACTTCTCCACATAATCCTCTTGGACGGTGAGGCATTTGTCCCACCGTGTCATACGATTTTCAATGGCGGCAGCGTGGAATTCCATGTCATTCCTCAGCAAGCGGCTACCAGTTGTCTGGATTAAACACCTCCAACAGCTGGGGCCTATTTCATGGAATTTACAAGTTCTACAAGTTACAAGTTACTAGCAATTACAAGGGTCGTGTTGTACTTGTACGAAGGGCCAGCGGGACCAGCAGGGAGAGTTAAACAAGGATCACGACCCTTGCAAGTACTTGTAACTTGTAGAACTTGTAAATTCCATGAAACAGGCCCCTGGTGATGAATTTCCGCAGGGTTTTTTGGCCAAAAAAAGAAATTTAATTTCGACGAAATTCCTCTAATTTCAACGCGGGACCAATTTTCCAAGCGCGTCTCCATTTCGCGACTACTCTGCTCACCTGACATGAGCGGTACAAGTGACACCTCACGCATCTTTGCCTAGTGCGACACCCTTAATATCCCTATTTGCACGCCCACGCTACCCACCTCGTGGTTCTTCCGTAATGGGCCATGTAACCATTTTTTCTGATCAACCCTTGTATTTTAAATAAAATAAACTGCGAGCCTCCAATAGTAATAAAAAAGCAAAGTAACACCACATGATGAAATAGATTCATGTGAACCAATTCCATTGCCGAAACTGCCTGCTGCCGCGGCTATCATATTTGACCAGGTGAATCTGTCAAAAACTGATGTGTGAATTGCCCGTTCAGTGACTTTTAATACTTCTATTTTCAAAAGTTATTGCATTTGAGACACAGGCTGGAATTAGTTTACACTTACCAGGAATCCTTTATATTCGGCAAAATTACCATGGCATTTGCATGATTTGCAAATCCATGAGTCTTGCATGATATCGGAGAGTGATTTTCCCAAAAAAAGGGTTTGTTTACTTTTGTTTGACACACTTTATATTAATCCCTAAATATCTCTCTTCGTTTGCCTCCTTCAACTTTTCGACGCCGAACTCATTCAGAGACATATCGACCTGCACTGCATTAATGGTGACGAAATTTATTTTGGTGTTGTCCGCAAATTTACTGATTTTACTTGCTAGGCCTTTGTCACGTGAAGAACTGAAGGTAGGGAGGTTTGGATGGACGAGAGAGGACGAAAGAAACCCAGGGGACGGGGATTGAACCCGGGCCTCCTGATTGCCGGTCAGGTGTGCTGCCATTACACCACCGAACCCGGGACATTCAGTCGTGCCTCTCAACACTGCCTTCATCACACCTTCATCTAAACAGGCAATGAAGCAAAGTGAAAACCAATTTTCAATTGCTTTCCCTTTCTACAACTTCCCCCGCCTCTCTACGGGACTCACTAACGTTAGGCCTAGGCCTAACCAACACACTTACTTCAGATCACGCCAAGGCCTACCCACTTCCTTTTCAAAAGAAACTCAATTCTCGACTTACGGCGTCAATTACGCCTATAAAGGTGAATCGTGGTCTTCGAGACATCTCCTTCAGGACGTGTAACGTTAGGCCAATCGCAGGCCTATTCATACGTTCATGAACCATTTCAGAGTGGACATGTTATGTTAAACCGTTTGGAAGCCTGTTTCCCGTTTCATGAACAATTTCAGTGGGACGTGGAACGTTAGGCCTGTCTGGAGTTCCTCAACCATCTCGAATAGGTCTGAAGAGAATGCCCTTAAGCAACATGTGGTACGCGCCATCCTGTTAATTCAGGGATGCCCGGATAAGATATCTGCATATCTCACCACATCGACCGATAATTGATAACCTCCGCTTCATTCTCAGCTCAACTCATGAACTCAGCATAAAAATGTTTCATACGTTAAAAACAGAAGATCCAGACACCAATATGAAGGATGAAACAGTCTTGAATCTGGCATAATTTCGGCACGGTATCCGGCAACACTGGGGGACGGTACCAGAGGAAGAACCCTAAGCCTAATTGAACGACAGCTAATTTGATTTTTTATGGTGAAATGAAGCATCGCAAACATAAAAATCTACTTTTCGTCATCTACGAGTCAATATCTTTCTCATAGTTGCTCTCTTTCCTCCGAAACCCCCCCAGGAGTGGCTACCCAGGGGGGGGGAGAACAAAAAAAACGGAAAGAAATTCACATCTTCCAAAAACAAGATTCAGCGTTCTGCACAACCCCGGGGAGATAAAGCTTCCAATTTGCTGGAGCGATTCTATGGTGGGAGAGGAAAAAGTATGCTAAATTTACTTCTTGTTGAAGCTCTCAGAGAGGAATACGAAGAGGTTGAATTTTTCGACGGGAAGGGGTAAAAGAAAGGCAATAGGCGCTTCCGCGCGTATTGATTTAGACAAGAAAAAGAAGCGGTCGAAGGACCGAACCCTCCGGGACACCGCTTGCAACGGTAACTTATGTCGAAACCACTTCATTAACCATTACTCGTTACTCTCATCTCCACCACTGATATAGCTACTCGTCCTACCCTGGATCCTGTGAGCCTTCAATTTTACCCGCAACCTCTTTTGAGAAACGGTCTGGAAAGCCCATTTGGAAAATCACAATTAAAATACAATTGAATTTTATTTTGCAATGTCTTGCAATGTATATTCGCATCATTAACTATTATTTCAGGAATCATATATTCAAAACCTTTTTGCTTGATTTTCCAATTTCCAGCTGAAGTTCACCGATTACTTTCAGAATGATGTTCTTTCTAAGTTGTGGACTATGTGGAAGGCAGTCATTGGAAGTCCATTTGAAAACAATGATATAATTTAACCTAACCTAACCTACCTTTTTGAAACCCTCCAAATTTGGATGAAAATTATACATTTCTTGTTCGCAAGTGAAAACGAGTACATAAATACTAATTTCAATCAAAATCGGTTTGAGGCCAAATAGGACTAACCTAACCTAACCTTAGTTTGTGAAATTGCTTAGATTTGAAAAAAAAAATACATTTAGGTTTTGGCTAAGTACACACTCTCGAAATATACACATATCTTTTAAATCGATTAAAGGGTCGAAACTTGGCAAACTCCTTTGAATGCCACATTGAAAGAATGATTTTATTGCAAAAAGTGGGAGCATCGTAGCTTCAACTGACCAGGCAGTAAATGGTATTACTATGGTACTTGCTTGTGCCAATGCACGTGCTCCTGCTTTCGAGCCTGTCGGACACCTGTTTCCATTTCTAACAGGTGAACTTTTGCAGTCTTAGGACAGACTCATGAAGGAATAAACTTTCATTTTTTAAAGGTCTCCATCAATGCAGTAAAGGAGTTTGTGGGTGCAAATGGACTCACTCAGAGGGAGCTAGTCCCTGGAAACATCGTCTTACCTAAACGGAATGAAAAAAATATTGATTTTAATTTCAACATGGGCTGCACGACATACAGAGTAAATGTGACTGCCATATCACCAGACTTCAGCTATCATCCTCCATGGAGTCTCCATTTCACAACCGAAGAAGCTGGTGAGACTCACGGTTTGCATACTGTATAATTTGTCTTCTCAAATTCTATTACATTTGTGTTCTGGCACTAACACAGTCCCTCCTGATATCGCTCCGCCAATACTTTACGGAGTGACGGAATCTGGAACAATTATGGTCGTCCTGCCCAGGGCCTCCGAGATATTCGGACCAGTGTCACAGTATCTATTGGTGGTAGTGCCTGAGAGTTGGACCACCGCTAACCTTTCGGCTGATGATTATCATTTATCTGACAATGTAAGCATTTTCCTAGCTTCCAATTCATTAAAGAGGAACTGTACTCTTGAAGTCTACAATATTTTGCTTTATCCATCTTTATTAAGGGAGGGGACATTGTGCGGATCTCAAACATTGCACCCCATGCACTACATCCTGAAGACTGGCCATACGTTGCAGTCAAATTCCTTGGACAAGATATCCCTTATATATTTAACCTTGGAGACAATGCTTCTTCTTATGGATATTTCAACCGGCAGTTGCAAAAGCACAAGCGTTACAGGATATTTCTTCGTGCCCGTATCGACAGGATCGTCACGGTGAGGCTGGGTAAATAATTTTTTCTGAATGTCAAATGGACAAGGTGTCCATTTGTCATCCAGGAAAATTATTTTGCTAATGATAATGATAATGGGTAATGAAAAAAAGAATTACACGGTTTTTCAATATTATTCAGAAACAGAATATGCTTTCATACGACCCATGACAACACTTTTGGACGGTCAAACTCGCCCGTTACATTATTGAAAGTATTTTTCATGTGGTCTCCCATCCTCTTCTGAATGATAGACATATGTGAACAATAGCGATCTGAAATTTGTTTGAAATTCTTGGTGGAAAGATTCCCGTGGCTAGGCGAAGTTCTTCTATTGATGCAGAGGATTATTCAGTCAATACATTATTCTGGCAAAATGGTGTTGGAAGGGTTCCTCAATGAAAGAGGTGTGAGTCTTGGTTATTCAATGGCTTTTCAATTTTTCAATTCAATTCAATTTGGCTATTAATTACGAATTTTTTTCAAGTTCTAGACAGTTCGCCCATTCACATATTCACATTTATGTTGAAAAGTTTCTCCATAACGAAGTTCTGTATAACACATTTTTCAGTTTTTCACAATCATTTTTCCGTCTGAAGGAACAAAACTCTTTTGTATTAAGAAATTTAAGTATTTTGCACGTCAGTGTTATTCTATTTTGCGCATTCCTGGTAAGTCTCATCTCCTGTATTTATGCCCCAATTTATGTCCATTTATACCCACATTTATGTATTCATGCATGTCTCACCCACTCATTTGTGTGACCATGGGGAGTAAGGGAGTGACGTCAGTCAGACTTAATTTGAAGATAGGATCACCGAGTCTAGAATTCTCTGCGGTCTGGCAGTCGAAGCAGTCAACTATCTTCGGCTATTTTTCAAAGGTCGAAGGTTGAGCCTGAAACTTTTCAAATATTGAATTCTCTGCTAAAAAAGTAGTCCCGGTTCAAAGAGTAGTCCAGGAAAGCGCACGGCTGACCACAATTTGGGACTTTGTTTCCGACGAATAGACAGCGTTCCTGACTCGTCTGATTTTGATTGCACCTTCATAAAGGCGCACTTCTATGAACACCCATTAATCTAATATACAGGGTGTCCAGAAGGTTTCTTCCTTACTTCAAAAGGCCATGAGGTCATTTCTCCATTACCGAGAGGCCTAGAAACTTCATATACGGCGAAGCGGATGTACAGCCAATACGACTGATGACAGCAAAGTTTCCTAAAGTTTCCGGATATATCCACCAGGACGGCCCTATACTGGCCAGATAGGGCGCCACCTTCGCACTGATAAGACCCGCGACATACGTGCAGCTCCCCAGTTCTATCTTGACAATGACTAATAAAAGATTATGTTTACAGGTTTCAATAGAACTTTTTCAGCGGTACTATGCCAACCAAAACAGCACATTTCTAGCCCTGAGGGATTGCCGATGTGCTCACCATCTACGGCATCCTTGTCTGCTTGGCACCTGTCTTGCACGAGACGTTCCCAATGACTTAAAACCAATGAAATCAAAAGTCATTGCTTGTCGCATCCATTTCCAATTGGACAGGGCTCCAAAACTCAAATATGACATTAGCACCACTAATTGACAAGGACCCTATATTGTCAGTAGGAATCCCCAATATTCGTGTGGGAGTAATTTTCACGTATGATTTTGAAATTTGAAGACTTATCATAGTGAAATAGGTACTAGGAACAACTATCCTCTCTATATATTCACCGAATGTGCACGCGAAGTCCATAGAGAGGGCCGAGGTGTCACACACACGAACTGCCAGTTTCTTCCAACTAGCATCTTGAATGTCACATGTCTCGTGCGGAAGCATGCTTAATGAATACAGGAAATATGAGGACTAGGGCTGCATCCTAGTTTAGGCCCTACTACATCGTCATGTCGGTACCACCTCTATGTTTCTGCTTCGGATCTCCGCACCTCCATTTAAGAGTTAATCCGGCGGCAGAGATCTGACGCTCTCGCAACTTGGAGAATTGGAGAAAGTTCCTACCCGAATACATCCTGATCTTGTACATTAAGGTTACAGAAAAAAAGGCAACTTTATTGCGTTCCTTCCTAGCGAACAGTTATTGCTTTGCAATACATGGAATTGGATAGGTATGATACCTTTCTTCAGGTCTTACAGATAATATAGTTTCTGATGAGATTTTTATGAGTGGTATTATGCTTATACTGTAGCAGTGAAGGAAAATTATTTTCCCATAGCTAACCCCACTGTTCAAGACGAGTAGCATTTCCAGTTTTCTGGCCTTGAATATGCACCCGATACCACCTGGTCCAATCCCGATAGAACGTCCAATCCTGACAAGCAAACATTCAATCACTACGAGCGAACGCCTGATACCAATGGACTTCACTGCTCATGGACCAGACGAAAGAAGACGATTCACTTGGGTGATTGCTCCATTGTTGTTGGGTTTACTTCTTGTATCGTGTATGTTCTTTTTTATCTATATACGGCAAAGAGCCCACGGGAAGCATCACCAATTATCAGTTTCGTTCAAGCCATTGGTTTCCCCCGAGACGGTTCAACTCTGTGACGGGAGAGAATCTACCTGAGTTTCTTCGCTAATATACCAGCACTCAAGCGGCCAGTTCCGCATGATTGAAACTTCTTCATTCTTGGTTTGCTGATCCCAAAGCAGGTCAAATGCCTTGTAAATATGTTTTCTTTCCCACATGGAATTGACTGATATCAAGCAAAAAGCGGAAGTGCAATAAATGAAATATTCACATTCATCTGCATTATATTGATACATTTTCTCAAATTGCGACACGTGTCCCAAGGAGGAGATCTAGGCGCCACCCACGTAACACATAACATTGATTCAACGTTGATGTGGTGTGGATCGAATGTTTCACTGTTGAAGGTTTATGCTTTTCTGTTGAATCAACATTGAGTCAATGCTGCACTATTCACGTTGGAAGTGTCGACATTAAATCAGCCTCGATTCAATGGTTTCTTTTCCAGCAAAAAATCCCTTGGTTTTTTGTATCTACTCTAAGGATTTTTTGTGTGTACTTCATCATAATTCGTTTAATAGTTTAGCCATTCGCCCATAATACATTACGATCACGAAAAATGCTTGATTTAGGGCAGATAAGAAGGTGGCTGAAATTACTCCTGGCCTAATGTCTATAGCAGCAAACAAACAAAAAGAAAAAAAAACTCGCGAGCATCTGACATGGTGGAATTGTCTCAATAAAAACGTAAAATTAGAAAAAAGTAGATTCAATAAAAATCATATACAGTATATGCAATCAATACGCTTCTCCGGTACTTTTGGAACAGTACTTGATATTTTCTCCACAAACGACGCCTGGGAAGGAATTTCACTTCTGTTCGACCAATGTGGCAACTCAACCAAACAAGACCCAGGATAATTCTGAGGAGGGTGATGGACACAAAAAAGTTTGCGAGGTCATGTTACTCCATGAGACCACGACGTCCTGTTTTCGAGGAGGAATCCAAATCATAATCACTGCTGAAGGATGCGTGGAGTGAGGGTAGCCTCTTATTAAATCGCGGTAATCGCGTCAGTGTCCTGCTTCCGGGTAAGTTGGATTCCTCTTCCTCATCTCGGCATTAGGTTCGCATTTTCCTTGGGTGAGGGAATCTTAAAAAAAAACGGATTCGGAGAATGGAGATCGTCTCCAGATGATATTCAAATGATTCAGTCATGAAACGGCGCATGCGCACGAATTAAACAGATTCTTGAGACCTGTCATATCTACGTTGAACGATAGTGGATTCAATATTTCTTCAATGTTGAAGAATATGAGTTTTCAATATAGAGTCAACGTTGATAAGCAAATGTTGAAGCAACGTTGCCATCTTGGTTTTGAACATGGAATCAATGTTGATATACCGTTGATGTCAACGTTGAATCAATTGTTGATAAAAAATGAACTTTCAATGTAGATTCAATGTTGACAGGCAACGTGGTTTCAACGTTAGCTGCGTTGACGAAATGACGTTGAATCAATGTTGATTCACCGTGAGTGTGCTACTTGGGCATGTACACAAATCTAAGTAGCCTTTCATGCGATGCTATCGTTCTTCGACCCTCATGCCATAAGCACTCAAGAGCGAACGCTTAAGGTACTTTAACACCAGATCAATCTAGTCTAGTGTAGTTTCTTCTTGTCAAGGGTAGTCATGGTTCAGTCAAGTTACCGACATATCGCACTAATTCAAAAGTTATGTCCTGTATGCTAGTGTGAGAGGGGGAGCGATTCCAGAGGAAGTTTGTGTCATCTAGCATCTGATGACCTATCATTCTCTAGTGCATAGCGCAATCAGGAGCCGGTCTCCTATCTCAATCAAACCAAATCAATCTCTAATTAGGGACAAATAGAACTCACTTTCAACAGTCGTTGCCCCTTCCCTTCTACGTGAGGGTGAACGTTGAGTTCGGGTAGCAAGAGCGTGCTCCGGTGTTGCGCGAATGGACTGAAGCCCTGATGCACTAACAGATGATATACAAAACTGCAATACCAGTGAGGAGATGGAGTTGAGGGATAATGATGAGGAGGTGGCATTTCGTCGTAGGGTGATGAGGTGGATGACGAGCTATTTCTGTCGTCAAAAACTTCATGGAATAGTAGCTTCTGGACTTCCACACGAAATCGCATGTTTTCCCTTAGTGTCAGCTGTTTCACACCAGGCAAGAGGCTTAGTAGAAAGTGCTTATTGCCGTCCTCATCATCCTTGCCTTTCATCATGCTTGACTCCCTCATCTTCTGAAGTTCAGATAAGAAGACCCGATCAATACATTTGTCCAGTTTGCCTCTTTTCTTTCTCCCGGTATCCGCTGAGTCTGTTTTTTTATTATTTGGCCTATCTTTAACTTCACTCTCAGGGACTTGGCGATAAGGAGGAGTTATGGGATGGCTATTATGCTCTGAATCTCTCGCATTTAACGTAACGTTTCCATCTCTACATTGAACCTGTAGATAATCGTCATTCTGTTCCTACTCACCAAACTCTTCAAGATATTTCTGGAATGGATACATTTTCCTTGATTTCGTTTTCTCAAGCTGATCGGGCAAAAATGGAAATGTTCACAGATTGGGATGCTGAGTTCAGGATGAATCCGTCTTTATTGGTACTTGTCCTATGAGCAAATGTATTTCGAGGAATATTGTTAACTTTTTTTTAACTATAGCGAATTAGGCTGATATAGAAAGCGGACATTTCGTGAACCTACAGTTCTGGGGTTTTCTGATTTCACCAAAAAAACAACGTTTGAGGTAGATCCATACTTCGCAATTTTTTTGGAAAGTACTTCTAGATTCCTTTTTCGATCCAGTAAAACGTTACAATGTGTAATGGATCATATAAATGTCTGAAATAGTAGAATGCAACAATCATCACGAAAAAAAGGATTTTACGAAACCTGAATTAAATGTACTTTTCAAAATGTACTCATTTCTTGACAATTTCATCTTTTGTGGGAGTCAAGATGACAGAATGAAAAGGGCAATACGAAGAGTCCGATTCCGTCTCATTACGAATCAGGTTGAAGGCTGGTACGAAAGTGTAGCTAGTATAAATTAGTTCCTGTCATCAACTGACTAGCCGTAGTATCAAACGACATAGAAAATGTATTTCGGCTGGTACTGGAAACGTTACTTCACCGCGTCAATATTCTTCCTTCGTATGGATGATGGAGCAGCTCTTTTTTCAGTCACTGGTATATTTTAAGATTTTTAATCCACTCGATCGCTTCAGGATAGGCGGAGTGGACATCCGAGATTCCACCACTGGACTTGTGACCCGGGCTATAACGCAAGTCATGACACGAAACACTGAATGCATCGGGTGATGACGCAGGAACCTGACCCGAGTTACGAGCCATGACCCGATCTCTGAGACCGAGTCATTCCCGTCGCGTCGTTCCTCCAAACATGGTGTCATCCATGGAAGGCCTCCAGCGGCGAGTCCTCGTACGTACCCAGATTCGGGGAAACATGCCAATGAAGTTGTGAAAGATGCAAAGGGATGTCCCGACGACTGTTCCTTTCTTTGACCTAGCACATACGAATTGCAATATCCCGAAATTGCTTTTGAGAAGTGCATAGGCCAGTGATGCACAACCTTTCTTTGCGGCCCCTTGGATACCTCTGGTTTCTAAAAATACTTTTTTTTATATATTCGCACCTCCGATTTGATAAATATATTTTAAATTATTTTGTAAATAATCAACCACCTACCCCCGGGAAGTTTTGAGCGGATGAGGACATTAAAAATTGATGCACCGTGCGAGGGATGAGAGGCACGCTATTTTCAATGCTACTGTACCTCACGCACATCAGTCGGGTCGCATTTGGTGCCGTATATAACAAGATTCTGGGAAGTCACTCAGGTTTCGAGATTGTTCTAGGAGTGACCTACAAGTGTCCCTTTCTCAAAAGTTCTTCGGGAATGCCTTGAAAATGGATGATTTAACCCAGAACTAAGAAAGGGAAGAACTAGACAAGAACGGTCAGAGAAAGAAGTCCTCTGGCCCAAGGTGAGGCGGCCGGGTATAGTCTATTCGGCAGCAGGAGACACACTTGGTCGAGGACAAA